TACATTCTACTTACATGAACGATACACGTAAACACATCATCACTCTATCAGTGATCCATTTACAAGAGCTAGGTATCTACAATCAGATTCATCACTGTGGTAAGATATGAGCAAATAAGAAATCAATGCTCATCCCAAAACTTTTCTGTACAGCAGAGGTATTGGGCAATGGTTAGAAATGCTTTTCCTTCAACCCTTTATCTCGAACTGGGGACAATACTAAAGACCTAATGGCCAGGTAAACATAAAGTGTTCTGCAGATTCATATATGTCATGCCTCTTTGTGTATAAACTTTCATATGTTTTCCTCGTTCTTTTGCTGCCAAAACACCTGTGCCAACAGAAATTTAGGAACCCATCAAATTGAAACAACCACAACAGAATGTGTAGGGAAGCAAACAATCGTGAAGGCAAGTAATAGAGTAAATATTTTGATACGAAAGGTGTAGGCGGTGTAGCATATCATGATGTCAAGAGTATATAATCCACAATATCACCAACGTTACATCTAAACTTGCATTTGCCTGAAAATGGGGTAAGTTAATGATAGGGATCCGCGGTTGGAACACAATTCTCCACTGCACTAGCTGTGTCCTTTTTTCCTTTTTGGTGAATAAACTGCTCTTTGAATCCTCTTTTACCCAAAGTTTAAACAGAAATTAATGTAAAGAGAGGCACTTGAGATTTTACATTTTATTCTTTGGCATTCTTAAATATATCCAGTAATAGCACCAGCGAGGAATGGCAGAAAAGATAAATCCATGACCTCAATTAAGGAGGCAGGAGCAACTTACAATTTTAAAAGGTGACAATCAGATGGATGGCTTCTAAATCTAATATTCACTCAGCAGACAGAGTGAATGAGATATCGTTTCTGAGAAGCGACCAAGTACGTGGATATGTGAGTATGTATATATATAAAGAAGTCAAGCATCAACCACGAAAAAGGAAAAGTGAAAAATAAAAACACAAGTATATACTTTTTATAAATAAGCAAAGTTTCATTGATGAAAACCAGCATTGAGAAAATGCTGGTGCAAATTACAGCCAAGGTTTTACATGAATTGCAGTTTTATGAAATCAAGTATGGCTTCAATTTCATTTACAATTTCCATATTGCACCAAAAGCTACCCAAAAGTATGCACCTATACATTTTAAAAATTTTCCTTCAAATATTCTAAGATTCCTTCCCCTTCACAAAAAAAACATTAGTTAATTGCTTGTGCAATTCATACAACTAACTGGGAAACAATGCACCCTCCAAAATACAATGCATACATGGATGTGCTGGTTTTCTTAAAAAAATTTTAACCAATGTATCACCTAGAAACTGTAGTATGGGGTCAGACCGACTTTTTTGTATGGGGCAGAGTGTTGGCCAAACAAGAACTCTCATGTTCAGAAAATGCAAGTTGTGGAAATGAGGATGTTGAGATGAATGTGTGGTGATTAGAAACTAGGATATCCCAGACAAGGTGGGAGTGGACTCTGTGATGGACAATATGAGGGAAGCAAGACTGAGATGGTATGGACATGTGAAGAGGAGATGCGCAGATACCCTAGTGAAGAGGTGTGAGAGGTTGGATATAGTAGAAACAAAGAGAGGTAGAAATAGATCAAAAAAGTATTGGGCAGAGTGATTAGACAAGACATGGCACAACTCCAAAATACCAAGGACATGACCTTAGATAAGAGGGTGGGGAGGTCACGTATTAGGGTAGAAGGTTAGTAGGTATGGAGTGTTGACTTAATTTTCAAGGGGTTTAGCCGTATTCTTATAGTGTATTGCTTTTAATTCCACCATCACTTGTTGTTGATTGTGTTTAGGTTATCGCATTATTTTGTGGTTGTTATTGTTTCCTTATAGTTGTTTTGTTTCTCCACTATTGTTTTCCCTTTTTCATACCTATTTTGATATGTTGTACTCCAGCCGAGAATCCTCCGAAACAGCCTCTTTACCTCCACGAGGTATGAATATAATCTGCATACACTCTACCTTCCCCCAACCCCACTTATGGGATTTCACTAGGTATGTTGTTGTTGTGTTACCTAGAAACTGTAAAGATCCCACTGCATAACAGGCCAAAGAGCACTCCTCTAAGCAATCCAGTTAGTGGAAGACCAACATTTGTATAAAATCAAATCAACAAAGCATAGGAAAATATATTATGTAGTCCAAAAAGTTTTTGTATTCTCTTGGACAAAAGATTATATTATAATCTTACAAGTATCTTGATACAATTTGGGTTTTGCATTCTCTAGTCTTCTTCTCATGTAATCGTGGATCACCATATGTATATTTATATCTCTTTGATGTTTTCCTTTTATATATTTTTTTAATTTACAGATCAAAAGGGAAAAGAGAAAAAATGATACAACTTGAGTTTCGCACCAAAAGCAATAATCTAACATGTCGATCTCTTAAAAAGGCACCACCATGCTGACAGATAATGAACACTATTTCACAAAGATTGAGAGGTCCAAAACTATTGACTAGCTAAATTTGACAACATAATTATATCTATCAGACTCCAAAAAGCATCATGTAATCTTTACTGTCAGTTTCAGAAACATTGCAAATTATACTATCAAGAACAGCAGGTATCAAAACACAAACAGAATTGGCCGCACCACTATTCAACAAGGAAGAAAAAGAAACTTCAGATAACACAAGCTGCAAGAAGGAAAAAATACGCACCAGAAATGACAGGGGTATTTTCTTTACCAATGTGCCTGCGACTGCGAGACAGGCGGATGTGCTTTTGAGTATTAGAGTCAACGAGGCCATCATACTCCTTTTGCACGGTATCACCAAGCCCACAGTACACCTCAACCCACATTTTCCTCTGTTGTTCCATTCCAACAAACCTCAAATTTTCCAACTCCTTTCTACAATAAACCCTCTTCTCTTCTCCTCCATTTATTTTACAGCCATTCACATTTTTTTCTTTGGCTTCTTCCATATTCCTAACTTTTGCTTTTATAGCAACCATTTGATTTGCATTCTTTTTCTTCCTATTTCTTCCTGATTTTCCATCAAAACCCTTGATATTTTTATCAATTGAGCAACTTTTTCCAACTTGAGAAATATCAATCATTGCTGTATCATCAATTACTTCAATCTTGAGTGAACACCTCACAGACCCATCATCTTTCTTCTCTTCCATATTAAAGCTGCTTTTTGCTTCATCATTTTTCTTGATGGATGATTCATCAGCCACAAAATGGGTACTGAATTCTTGAGTTTCAGAGGCACACACATTGAACTTCTTAGAATTTTCAGAGATGCTTATCTCATCTTTCATCCTCTCAGTGAACGTTTGAACTTTGGTGTTGGAGAACTCAGAAGAAGCATGAGAATCGAAACCGTCTGCCATGATGGTAATTTGGAGTTAGGGGTTTTGGGGTTATGCTATTTGGAGTTGGGGGTTATATAGAAACTTATAATGGGTCTCCTCATAATTACAAAGACTATTTGAGAGATAAAAATAGGTTGATTTTAATCTAAATATTCATAAAAGGAAAATATTATAATAATCATATAGGGTGTGCTTTTTTCATGAACTTATTTTTTGACTTTCCTACATAAAGTTAGTAAAACAAATCTCAAAACTCTCTTTCAACCTCATCACCCAACCCTAACCTCAACAAAGGACCATATTGTCGCCCTCAACCCGACATTCGACTCCCAATCCTAACATCCCCGACCCAATATCCAAACTTTGACCCCAACCTGGGATCCGACCGTGATGCATGATCCGACCATAAATTTAGACTAGACTTCTAACCCTAACACGGAATCTAAATCCGAATAGCTATCGACCTCAATCTAGGACCTGACTTTGAATTCAACTTCCAACCTCTACTTATAATCATAAACTGATCACTAATTGAGATCCTTTTTCGTAGTTGAGAAGGGAGAAGGAGTCTAAATCAATGGACATTAATGAACCATCATTGATGGACGTTGCACATGACACAACTTTCTATCTTGATTCGATATTCGAATCTCGACCACAATCTCAGGATGTGACTCCATATTAACTCAACTATGAATTAAAAAAATATCTTATCTTTAGCAAGAGGAGAATTATAAGCAAAGAAGAAGAGTGGATTGAAGTTGGTAATTAAATTGATAAGATGGCATGAATTAAAATTTATTTTTATTTTTAAAAATATTTTGGGCCTAATCCATAAAAATATGTGTTGAGCAATTTATTTTAGGCTTATTTTAACAAGCTCTGAATGTATAAAGGTACTTAATATTATTATGGTATCTTATCCAATCAGTTAGATAAGTTATCTTGTAGTAATGCCCATCTTCTAAAATAATTATCAAATTTTAATTTCTTGGCAACTAATCTTATTATTTTCTCTAAGTCTTGAATTCATCAATTACTTTTACTGTTTAGAGAAATTTATAGATGACAAATTCAGTTATAATTTTATTCTGAGACATACACACATTTAAGTAATTTTTGTTGATAAACTTATTACACAACAGTAATGTAAAAAATTCAATGTTTACCCTATTGCAATGGCAATTGAGGGAAATTCAATGAGCGAGCCCAAACTAAGCAAAGCACACTGAGAAATATGTTGTATGACTTAAAAATCAAAATATACAGTAATTGAGTAGATGTTTGCACTTTGGAATATTGACTGTCAAGAAGAAGGCTAAATTGGAATATTATCATTATCATTGATAGATAAAACGCAAAGGAATTACACTACTTTTTGAAATCAGACAGTCAATAAATTCCTTATCTTTTTTATAAAGAAAGAACTTCTCCAACTCTTGTGCTGCAGTCAGAATCATCGGATTGTGTTCTAGAAGCAAAGCTAACAAACAAACAAATCATCAATCTCCTTTCACTTGAGAAAAATGAATAGAATTCGAAGAAACAGAAGAGTGGAGACTGAGGCTATTTGTTAAACATTGTTTATCGGGTGGGTCCAAAAATTAAGATGCACACGCAAAATCAACCTGTTCGACTAATCAAGGTAAACTTGTCTCAGTACTCTATTAGAAGATCAAGTACAAGTGCTAATGATTATTTGTTCTCAAAACATCATCTACAACAGTTTCACTAACCATAAAATGCGTCTCCAAGTTTAGAGCTACTAAACTTGACTCCAGTTTATGCTAAGCCAATCATTGTAAAGATAAAAGGAACAGGCTTCAATCCAAAACTTATTACAATGATTAACGGGAAGAATATATCCAACTGTAGCACACTATAGACACATCAATATACAAGAAAGTGCACTGGAATCTTATTTACTATTGTCATCTCCACCAAACTGAGTAGAATTACCATTCCAGAATGTGTTTCTATCACCAAACTGATTTTCATCTTCATCATGTTTCAGAGTGTGGATGTTGCTCCCAAAGCTAGATGACGCTGGCTTTCTACCTCTGTTATTAGTTGTGGAAGTTACGGGGGTTTGGAATTGCTTACTTACCAAGGTCTGATTATTTTGAGGCGTGGAGTTTGGACCTACATGTCAGAGGCAATAAATTGAGAACACAGTACCAAATTATCCAGATAAGCAAAAACAAATTAACATGACACAGAGTGGCAGTCAACACATGAATGTATCAGCCTCCTATCCAATGACGAACCCAAAATTTACAAGGGGTTAAAAAAAAATAGAATGATATAACTAAGATTTGAACATGCGACCTAAAGCACTGTTTGAACCTCTTTGCCACTTCACGGGGATTCAACAATTCATGTTTAGCCAAAAAGTGCTTTAGGTCACATATTCAAATCTTAGGTCATGGGGTAATCTCCCTTATGTCATGGGGATTCAACAATTCATGTATAGCCATAAAAAACTGTTTTCGCTTTATTTACCCTGTATAATTTTTCAATGACAGGGGGTTCAATTTCCTCCTACCTAGTTATTCCCCTGATCTCATCCATTTATAAATAGAACATTTTTAATACACCTGATAGTGGATCTCGAAAAGCTCAGTTACAAACTCATTATTTTATTTAATCTGTAAAAGCTCGTGTAAAGTACGATATTAGCACATGGAGAAGCAATTACACCTGACAGAGTCAAAAGTCAGGCACAAAATTGGGAAAAAGGTGTTTTCAAATAATACTACAGAAAATGAAAAGAACTTCTAGTGCTTTTTATTCACTTTGCATAATCTTGTCCATAGATTAATTTAAATGGAGAAAAATAGTCAGCAATGATTCATATAGCCAACCCCTACATGTTTGGAACCGACACTGTTGTATTAGCAAAAAATGATGGTGTAGAGTGTCTGTTAATGCAAGTCTTATAAAAAATTTCAAGCAACTCAAAAGCTGATCTAAGAAAGTGCAAGTAATGCAATCTGTTGAACGTATCCTTAATTTCTAATTCTCTAGCAGTGAAGCTGTCACAGAGGTCAAGAAGAAAGGAAAGGAAACTACCATATTGCCATATGCTATCTCGAGAATCCTCAGCAGTGTTTGATGTGTTAGAACTTCCACCAAGGTAAGATAAAGGATTTACATACGAAAAGAGTTTTCTGATCGTAGCAAAATATCCTGCATCGCCTCCAATTGCTGTATGGTTACTCTCAGCCGGATTGTTTTGACCATGCAATGATGTAACATCCACTTCGTTACGAAGAACGATTATCAGTGCTTGCCTATTGTGTAAACCCAAATCTGACAATGTTCTATCTAGATCTGTTGACACGTTTCAAGGGAAAAAAACACTTATAAGGTATATTAGTAATTTAATTGCTCCCTAAAGTATGAGGTAAGAAGTAAATGTCCTTAATATGAGCAAGCACCAAAAAAAACAACGTTTGATAGCGGTACATGGATCATAAGCTGGAACTGAACAAAACCATATAAAGGTTCTGGAGAAGATCCTAAGCAAGCATGTGAAATATATCAGTTCAAACTAGTTGTTACTGATATATACTTTTTTGATGAAAAAGGTAATAGATTTCATTAAAGAGTACCAAGAAGGTACAAGAAAGAGTACAAACTAGAAAATTTCCTTCTACATATTGAAGGAATGCAAAAGATCTAATATAAGAGTTCATATGCAATGCAATTAGGGGTGACAAAATCAAACCCAACCCGTCCAACCCGCTTAAAAACCCGCCCATTCATTATCTCAACCCATTAAAAATTGCGCTGATATATAACCCGAATTGGCTCCAGTGTTATCAAAGGCGAAAAGCGCAAAAGAGATCTAAGGTCTGTGGGCGCAAATAAAGCATGAGCTTTAATGAAAAAAGGCGCAAAGGGAGAAAAAAAAATACAAATATTTATGTTTAGTCCAAGACAAATAATTATAAACATGAATGACAAATATATGACCAAAGAAATTGAAAGTTTTTATGATAAAATGAAATATCAATTGTTTAGTGTCACTTCGAAGAGGCTCATTGGCAAGGAAATTTTTGTCTTAGAACCTTGATGACGACACTGAAGCGCACATAAAGCGAGGCGAAGCGCTCAACACGTTTTGAGCCTCGCTTCAAGGCTTAAGCGGGCCTTTGACTACATTGATTGGCTCATGAGAAATCTTGTCATAATATTTATAAAGAACTATTTTTTCAATTTGATATGTTATATATAGCCATAATAAAGAAAAAAAAATATTACGTACTAAAATAGTTTAAAAGAACAAATAAAACAATTAAGTTCAGTAAAAATTGAGTTGGGTTGGGTCTTGACCCGGTATATAACCCAATACCTAACCCGTTTTGACCCAAGCAAATTTGATTTGATTTGGGTTGGATCTTAACCCGATTGTTGTCTTAACCCATTATGACCCACTCAAACTTGACCCAACCCGCCCAATTGCCAACCCTAGATGCAATATTCTTCCTACACCATAAATATAGACTTTCAAACACCTAGAATTAATATGAACTATATTTTCCTTCCTAGTGTTAAAACATCTATTATTCCTCTATGTTTCAAACTCGATCAAGACTTCATTCCAGACTAGTTGAGACAGGCTATAACAATTTGAACTCACACTATTGGATATAATCATCTCATGTGTGCTAAAGCAATTACAGGTGGCAAATGAGACTATTTGTAGCCAAACAACAAACTATTCGGACAAAACCACATCTTCTGACACATTTCCTAACAGCTTTAAACCAACATTTAGAAATCCTTAAGAATGTGTGTTAACCAAAGGAAAAAGTCTGCCACATATAAAAGTGGAACATTGATGTACCAGGCTGCCAGCAACTCAGACTGTCAAGTTGCCTACTCGCACTCCCTTGACTTGAGGCAGCAATGGAGGATGTATTGCCACCCAAAACAATGACAAAAAGGATAAGGATCGTAATAAGAAAGACAATATGGTGGGATATGTTTAGATTCTTTCACACTCCTAGGGTAATACCAACAACTGTGAAAGATTTGATGCTCAGTTGGAAGAGCGGGAGAAAGAGGAGAAGACAAAGGACCTGCAACGTGGTTCCAATTGTTTACTGTGGGTAGTTTGGAGAGAGAAATATGCAAACTTTTGTAGGTGTCGAGTTGAGTTTCTTGCAGTTGAGTAGTCTCCACTCCCTTATTTTCTTTTGGTGTAAGCAGAAAGTTTCTTGTTGTAAAGAGGATTGGGTAGATTTGCAAAGTATCATATATTTTTTTTGAGATAAGGGTAATTTTGTATTTACAAAAGATTCATCATCCAAGAGATGATGAATTGGAAACTTACATCCCATAGTGTGATGAGCACACCTCCATGATAGTAATCAGATTACAAGTTTCCTAAGAAATCAACTAATTCTACCCCATCCCCCACCAAGTCTTGTTTACACCAAAAAAAATAGAAGACTATTACAGTTTGTTTTAATCCTCTGAAAATTGATTTTCTGTCCTTCAAAACAACTAGCATTCCTTTCCTTCCATATAGACCACCAGATATATGCTGGGATGAGCTTCCACCATTCTTCCTTCTTGCCTCTACTTCCAACTCCTGGCCAGCTGTCAGGACCTCCAAAGTAGTCTTTGGCATCACCCAACTAATCCTCAGACTGCACAAAAACGTATTCCACAACCTTGTAGCGGTTTTACAATGAATGAACAGATGATTATTTACCTCAGCTTCAAGTTCACACATAAAACATCTTGAACACATATGCATGCCTCTTTTCTATAAAGCTTCATGAGTAAGGCATGCTTTCCTAATCAGTAGCCAAACAAAACATGATACCTTTGATGGACATTTCACCTTCCAAATTAGTTTCCATGGCCACCTCTCAGTCAATGAAATATTGTAGTTCATCTTCCAATAGCATGACTTCACTGTGTAGACCCCTTGCTTGTGTATTTTCCATATTGGCTTGTCAGATCTTGGAGATGTACCTGGGAAATTATTGAGGACCTCTAATAACTTGGCAATTTCCTCAATTTCCCAATCGTTTAATGCTCTTCTAAAAATTAGATCCCAACCCTGTTGACTCCAGACTTGTGCCACAGTGGCATTGCTCTGCAAACTCAGGGTATACAAATGAGGAAATAGGTTTCTCAAATTGTCTTCCCCTAACCATATTTCATTCCAGAACTCTGTCTTTAGACCATCCCCCACACTGATGCATATGTTGCTTCTGAAGTGTGGCCATAATCTTCTAATCCAAAAGTGCCCATAACCTCTTTAGTTGTCCATTGATTAAATAAACCATATTTGCCTGCAATGAATCTTCTCCATAAGGCTCTGTCTTCAGTACAAAATCTCCATAACCATTTCTGAAGTAGACAGCTGTTCTGTAGACTCAGGTTCTTCAGGCCTAAGCCTCCTTGGATTCTATTGAGTGTGATTGACTCCCACTTTACCAGATTATAGCCTCCCTTTTCCTTGTTACCCTGCCATAGAAAAGTTCTCCGTAGCCTATTAATTTTCTTTTCAATGTTCTTGGGGATTGGAAATAAGCTCATCATGTAGGTGGGCAGACCATCCAACACTGATTTGATGAGTGTTACTCTGCCACCCAGAGACAGGTACTGGCCTTTCCATTTGGCTAGTTTCCTCTCACATCTCTCCAACACCACATTCCACACTTCCAGCTCTTTGTTCTTTGCTCCCAAAGGTAGTCCCAAGTATTTTGTTGGTAGTGCATCTACCTGGCAACCCAATGTTTCAGCTAGCCTAGACATATTGTCAACATTATTGATAGGAAAGAGATGACTCTTCAACCAGTTGACATGCAGACCTGAAATGCCCTCAAATATAGTGAGAATAGCTCTTAAATGCCTAATCTGTGTCTCCTCTGCCTCACAAAATATAAGAGCGTCATCAGCATAAAATAAATGTGTGATCTCCATTCCTGCCTGTGCACTAAAGCCTCTCACCCATCCATTTGTCTTTGCCTTCCTGAACATATGATTCAGTCCTCCATGGCTATTAAGAATAAGAATGGAGACAGAGGGTCTCCTTGTCTGAGACCTCTCTGGGACTGAAAGAAACCTTCGGTGTTACCATTTATGATAAGAGAAAACTTCACACTTGAAATGCAATACTTGATCCAGCCAATCCACTTGCTTCCAAATCCCATGTCCTTTAGAATTTTCAAGAGGAAATTCCAGTTAACATGATCGTAAGCTTTCTCAATGTCTAGCTTGCATAGAATCCCTGGTTTCTTTTGCTTTTCCCTGGAGTCTACCAATTCATTAGCCAACAATGCTGCATCCATTATTTGTCTACCTCTCAAAAAAGCCATTTGATGTTCATCAATCAGTTTCCCAATGACGGTCTTCATTCTCTCCGTCAATAACTTGGATATGATTTTATAAACTCCTCCTATTAAATTGATAGGTCTGAAATCCTTGAGCTCAACTGCACCTGGTGTCTTTGGAATCAATGCTATGAATGTAGCATTGAAAGATTTCTCAAACACACTCCTCTGATGAAAATTTTGTATAGTCAGCATCAGGTCCTCTTTCAATATATCCCAGCATTTCTTAAAGAAATCCATAGTAAATCCATCAGGGCCAGGTGCTTTTGTCCCCCCTGACCATTTTTTTGATGATCAGTAGCACTTCCTCCTCCGTAAATGATCTTTGTAACCATTCGTTTTCTTTCGTTGACACTGTTGGGCACCCTACAAAATCAAAAGAGGGCCTCCAGGACTCAGTTTCTGAGTAGAGCTTGGCGTAGAAGTCTATCATGGCTTCTTTAACTTCTGTAGGTTCCTGTATCTCCACCCCTCGTATCACTAGTCTATCAATTGTGTTGTATCTCCTGTGGGCAGTTGCTTGTCTTTGAAAGAACCTAGTGTTTTTATCCCCTTGTTTCAACCATAGCACTCTAGACTTTTGTCTCCAGCTTGCTTCTTCTTGTTTGGCCAGCACTTCCAGCTCTACCAGAATTGTTGTTTTTATCACCATTTCCTCATCATTAAGTATTCTGTCGTTCTGGATTCTATCTAGCTCAGCTAATTCTTCTAGCAAACAATTTTTCCTGTGGGCTGCTTCAGAGAAGTTCTTCTTGCTCCAATCTTTTAACTTTTGTTTTAGCATCTTTAGTTTACTGCTAAGCTTATAATCAGGGCACCCTTCTACCTCAAAGTTGTTCCACCACCCCTGCACCATATCATTAAAGCCATCAACCTTGAGCCACCAATTTTCAAATTTGAAACATGGTTTTCGATGCTCCCAGTTACCACTTTCCAACATGACAGGATTGTGATCTGACCCTACTCTTGGGAGGGTGCTTTGCTTGATGCTTTTGAAGTTTTCCTCCCAACTCATAGAATATAAGAACCTATCCAACCTAGCAGCACTTGGATGGTTATCCCCCCTGAACCAAGTGAACTTCCCGCACTTGGATGGTTATCCCCCCTAAACCAAGTGAACTTCCCTCCCGACAGATAAGGGTCATGCAACTCCAGTTCATCTATCCATCTGGAAAATTCATTCATGATGTTTGTAACTCAGCTGCACCCTCTTCTTTCCCCCATATGTCTTACAGTGTCGAAATCTCCCCCTGTGACCCAAGGTCCTCCACATAGTTCCTTCATTGCAGCCATTTCTTCCCAACACTCTAACTTCTCTTTCCTGGTGTGTGGAGCATACACTCCAGTGAAGTACCAGGAAAAAGAATTTTGAGTTGATTCAAACTTGTAAGTGATTGAGTAGGTACCTTCCTCCACCTTAGTGCCAGTCCATACTCTACTATCCCACATAATAAGTATTCCCCCCTTACTCCCATCTGCCTCAATATATCCAAGCCTCATCCATCTACTAGACCAGAGCTGATAGGCAATCCCCTCAATCCCTTTGTTCACCTTGGTTTCCTGTAAACAAAATACATCCGCTTTCCATTTCTGCAAACAAGTCTTAACCAACTTCTTATTGGTGGTGTTGTTAAGACCCCTCACATTCCATGTGATCAACTTAATATTCATTTAAAAGTCAGGCTTAGAACCCTCCCCTTGCTTCTAGCACCTTCAACCTCTTTATTGAGACTAGATTGAAGCTTTTTCAATTCATTCTTGCCTATTCCCCTGCTCTTAGGGATGCTAATAGCTTTCCCCTGCTTCTTGTTGTCTATCTCTGTTTTCCTTTCATCAATTCTCATGAGTAGTGCAAGAGTCTCTTTCTCAAATCCTTCGAATGCTACCCCATACGTGTTGCTCAACTCCAATATGTGTGAGTTAACCCAGTTTGGTGCCTCAATTTCAGCCAAATCTTCTTCTGACAGGTTTTGCATAACCACTGGTTCAGCATCAAGAACTTGTTGCAATTGTAGTTCTGTCTGATTTAAATCTTTGGACGTATACCTTTCTTCCGAATGTCTGTCCTCATTGGTCAGCATTGAGTTATGGGTTTGCATGTGTGCATTTTCATCTGCTACTTTCTCTCCCACCATCTTCTCCTTCGTTATTTCCTCAGAGGACTTCTCCCATAGTTTGATTGCTTCCAGAAATTGAGAAGCTAGAGTCTTAATGGTTGAAAGCCCATTAATATCTCTCACTTGTTCCTCCTGTGATGTCTCATTTAAACCCAAATGGGTTTCAGAATTTCCTTTGTGTTTTTGGCCCAAATGAGCTATTGGGCCCAAATTTATTTCCCCTGAGATCTAGGGACCAGAGCAGATCTTTTCTATTAGATCTGCTGGGTGGTCCCCAGTAACCCTAGTTGACCCACATGGTTCCTCACATGTCTTTGGCACGCTTTCCCCCATCTGTACTTTATCATTGTCACACCTCCTTTTACCCAAAGGTTTTCCATCCAAAACCTGTTGGGTAATACATGTGTTCGAGCCTTCTTCTCCATAGGATATCTTCGCCGGAGCTTCTGCCCAGAGTTGCATCGTGAACAAAACCCCTCTGTTTTCAATCGTCACCTCTTTCGGAGAATACTGTGGGGGCTGGGCTGAAACAGAAGTATCATATATTGTAGAGTTTTGAACTTTTGGTATATTGAATACGGCTGTTTTGGTCATGATTATGAATGAAAATACTTTTACTTGATAAAAAAAAAAAATAATATATATACATATAATACTCTGTTACCTTTATCACCAAAAACCTTGCGAGGATAAGGAACTGCTAGATCGTAATAACCAATGCTGCTCGTTTGGTTTTTATCAACATAGTGCTTGACCATCCTTAAAGTATCCATAACGAGAAACTTCACTTGTAAACTTGAACCGTCAGGTAATCTAATGTTTAAATAAACATCGTGAAATGTATTTGACGAATCATCTGAAAAATCAGCCTTCTCAGCAGCTGCATCTTCAACTATATTTATCTCGTGACCTTTCCCTGCTTTATTTGCAATCTCTCTAGGAGCTTCATCATTAGGGTCCAACTGTTGATCACGCAAACCAGGATTCTCTTTTGAAATTGAACATTCATCTTTACCCTTGGTTGAATCTACTTCTACAAGATGAAGTGGCTTTTCTGCTGTTGTGATCACAGTGGTAGACTCATTGAAGTCACCAATTCTAGATTCAAAGGCATTTGCTGATCCATGAGAAGCCATGTCAATTAGCGAGGAATCTATTTCCTGCAAAGTAGTTAAATTTGACTATTACGCTGGACAATAATGAACAGAGGTCTGAATGTGAGTAAATGAAATTTACCGTAGCAGCATGTCCACGATCCTCTCCCTCTACTATCTGAGAGTTTTTAGACAGTGTAGCCAATGGAGATTGTATATGTGTCATCGCCTGAGCTGGTGAAACTTGAGCACTTGAAGAACTCCCTACTTCAGATGTTACAGAAGAAGCTCCAGATACAAGCTCTTTCTTTGAAGCAAGTGCAGCAGTCAAGAAAGTAGCTGTTGTATCCTGCAGTTAACCATAAATAATTGATACAAAGAACCAAGGTAAGATTGAAACAATCCAAGGACCAACACAATAAACTAAGTGGAGCAGCCCAAAATCATGAAGTGGACAACACTGTATACCTGTATGAAGGAAAAACAGTGCTTCCTTACATACTAAACAGCAAATCCATGAGCTTAAACCCAAATCTGATTGGATTATTTCAGCCTCAAATTTAATATATTGTGCTAATCAAGGTTTATGAAGTAATAAAATGTAAAAGTGAACGGCTAGCAAACCGACATCCAACCTTCGCATTTTTCCTTTGTAAAATAAGGTTTTGGGCCTAAATCACACCCCAAAAGCTAGCTCAAAGGGAGGAGGATTGTCCAATCCTTACAAGGAGACCTGCCATCTCATTAACCACTGATGTGGATTTCATTCTTTAACACCTCACCTCACGCCCAAGGCTAGACATCTAGTGTGTGGGCATATTTAATTTGCAGGCTCAACATTGGGTGAGATGGGTCCTGCTCTGTTATCATGTAAAATTAGGTATTGGGCCTAACTCACACCCCAAAAGTTAGCTCATGAGGGGAGGGTTGCCCAAGTCCATATAAGCAAACCACCAGTCCATTCCCCAACTAAGTGGGACTTTTTCATTCTTCAATATCCTTCAAATTACAGAGGCAGAGTAGGAAAAATGGCACAGAGAAACTTAGGCAAGTATCCATCTTGCCAACAATGGTTGAACTGATAGACAGCAGCAAAGGAGACAAGGATAAACAAGAGATACAAGAATACTGTGGCAAGAGAGTGACGGGGTTTATTTACTTTTGGTTTAGCAGGGAGACGAGTAGCAACTTAGAAGTTGATTCTAGACATCTTTGTAGCTGAATTGCAGAAAGCTGTAACCAAAGAAGGGAAATTTATCTTTCAAGAAAATTCTACCCCTAACCGCAGTTCTGTTATATTGCAATACTTGATTGACGGACAAGAGCTTTGTAGATTTTTTTTGACAATTGGTAAGTAGAAGAGCTTTGTAGATTTTGAATCAAGGAAATGACTTGATTTGGCCACGGTTATAAGGCTTTACAGATTACAGTGTGTCATGGATGGTAAAAACTGTACAAAATTGAAGCTCTTGAAGTGAAGAGTATTTGGTAATTGAAAATTGCACCTAAAATAGATAAAATGTTTCTCTATGGTAAAGCCTCGTGAAGGACCAAAGAACAACCAGAGTTGTAGAATAAATTAACTCTCGACTCTTGAATTCCGTGGAAGCCACTAACCAGACTGCCTATTTTATATATTATTACTTCATATGCTGCACATAACTTTTTTTAATATGGTAATTTTCTCCCTTGGTGACTTGAACCCACAACCTTACTTCATTATGAAATAAATAATTTATCTATGAAATGGGAATAATTCTGCCTGCAAAAGAAAACAATGTTAATAAGAACATGATTACTCATTTGTATTCACATTACTTTGTCCAACTAGTTGCTCAAAGTTTCATTTGTGATTCAACGCATTACTATGTCCAACTAGATTGTCGCTGGAAATTTTGGACATTTGGAGATGCAGTGTATGATAAGATGGGTTAGAGAGAGAAGGTCCGCTTTCTCTCTAAAATCTGACCACCCGAAATTCAATTCTACAAACTTCACCACATTTTCCTCAAATACTCAATATCTCTAACTGCATACCCACCATTATTTCCACCTCTTCCAGCTATACCAATAAGGATCCTCGAAATCTCAAACAAGTAGGTTGACTCTAAAAGATTTTGATTGTAAATAAACTCTAGGATGAAGAAAGAAACCACAGTTTTGAGTCGCTCTGTGATGAGGTGGCTGTTGCGAGGGGAAGGGGGGATCTGGTGAATCCTCAGTTATTTTATGGAGATTTTAATGTCACTAGACATACAATGAAAAGAAGTAACAGCAAGAGAATATTCAGAGCAGTAAAAGAACTTTCAAATATCATTGAAGATTTAGAGCTAGCAGAGTCTACAATCCACTCTGGATGGAGCACAAAAATAATTTTGCCTATCCCATTTAAAGGGAAGCTTTTTTTTTTCTTTCTAGTAGATAGCACAGAGTTGTCACTCTTTAGAGGGGAGAAGCTGGGGGCTAGCCCCATCTCCTTGCAACCTTTTTTTTTTTTTTTTGAGAAGGTAACATTTTTTGTATAACTATTTGCTGCATAAAAACTACAGCTGTCCATACTTAAAAGGAAATATAGGAAAATGTACTAAGCTATAACCTACTTACAGAGATCCTAGAACATCAATAAAAGATTATATGTCTTCCTATAACCTATAACCTATAACCTACTTGCAGCCTTATTAGTAGTAATAATATTTAGTAATTGTGTAGTTCCTATGCTTCAAGGTCGTCTAGTATTATATTGCTTCATTTGCTTTGTATCTTGATATTTTGTTCCCATAATTTACTCGCAACCCTGCTTTGAATATCTTCTCTTTTGAGCCAAGGGTTTATCGGGAAGAGACTCTCTACCTCGCAAAGGTAGGGATAAGGTCTACGTACATCTTACCCTACCCACACCTCACTTGTGGGACTACACTAGGTATGTTGTTATCCGACACAAGTCACAATTCTAGCAATTGCTCACATTCAGAGGCTAGTGGTCTAAAAAGTCAAAAAGAACAGCTCAAAACAAGTGATTCCCTGCAATTTCCTCAGCATAAAGCTAATAGTCTTCCTAGTAAAACAATTCATCATAACTATTGGGAACAAAATCAGGAAAATCAAATCATGTCTCTGGGACCGAATTAAAATTATATGGAGAACACGTATATGACATAAGAAATACCTGAACATGAAGACTTAACCACGCCTTCTCAAGACTAGATGCAAGATTATCAGCAGAAACAAAACCCCCTGAAAATTAGATACATAATTAAGAAACAAGAAAGAGATGCAACAACTCAGTTACATCTCAAACAACTAATCATACCATGGTTTTTATTACCAAACATTAGATTAAGCTGATCATACCATGTTGCCATAGTTGAACACCATTGTATCCAATAACTGTAATACAAGGGACAGCCTTCTGTGGATCTATGTAGCTCATGTAAGGGTATATCTACATGAAAAGTGCACATAGACAGCATGACATTGACAGCAAGATTTCCCAATTTTAGGACTCATCAACCAAGAAAGAATTCACAAAGTTTTGAATGGCTTCGAAAACATTCCCATTGTAGATCACAGTAACTATTGAACTCCTTAGTTTTCATACTATCCTTAGTTTTCATACTAAAACAGGTTTTACATTTATTAAGAGAGGAGCATTTCTAATACATGTTGAAGTACTTGCACTTCGGAAACTCGCCATGCTTGAACATTTTTTCTACTTTTCCCATTGTCTTTGTCCCTTCAAAGTTCGAATACTGAAAGTCCAATTAAAGAAGATGAACTAGTCCCTGGAAACTACAAATCATTCCACACTGGACAAAGATGCATTTGAATATGAATACAAAAATAAGGTGAATAGAGAAGTACATTATGAGCAGTTACAGGAAATAACTTCTACATTTATGCACCTGAATTATTTTATTTACCAGACCTCGTGCAGAACGCCCACCCAAGTTAGCACACTGGAGAAAGTATCATCAAAATTCTTTACTATACAAGTCATTTTTTCCTCTTGCAATGTTCTTGCATCAATTGTTTCTCTTTTTAGAATGGGTATTGTATTATTAAGAAGGTGTGGTCAAAAGTATTTACAGGTCGAGCAAAAGTATGTCCTGTCTATTCCAAGAGAGATCCTATCCAGTCAATCACTTTTTCAGCTTCATTAATGATATTCTGTTTACACCAAAAAATTAAATAAAAGTAAACTGTTCCTTAATCTTCTTCATAGAGTTTTCTTTGTCTTCAAAGCATCTCGCATATCTCTCCCACCTAACAAACCAACATATACAAGCAGGGATTAGTGTATCACCATTTCTACTTCTTGTTTCTCCCCTGATGTTCCAGCACTCTAGAAATTCTTTAGTATCTCTAGGCATGCACCATTTAAGCCTCACTATGTTAAAAGACACAATTGCCTACTCAATACACTTCATCGAGATGAAAATCAAGCTTGGTCTATCCCTCTTCTTTCTTTCTCTCAATATGCTTCTTCAAATAATAACAACATACCCAGTGTAACCCCTCAATTGGGGTATGGAAAGGGTAGAGTGTATGCAAACCTTACCCCTACCTTGTGGAGGTAGAGTGTCCAAGCGATGAAATAAGAAATACAAAAGTACAGAGCACATAGCAAATTATAGGGAAAGCATCACCATGCATTCAGAGAACAAAGAACAATAACAACACCTACATAATGCGATAACTGAAGCACGAGAAATGGCAGGTAGTAATAGAAATCATAGGGCAATAAACTAAAAAAATAATGCTACCAAACTAACACCAAGCCTAACCCGCAAGATATCGAGACAATGTTCACCACATACTAACCCCTTCTACCCTAATCTGCAACGTTCATATCCCAATATTTAAGGTCATGTCCACGGTAAATAAAGATGTGTAATAACCTGTCTAATCACCTCTCCCAAATACTTCTTCTATGGCCTACCTCTCTCTCTCCTTAAACCCACCAAAGCTAACCGCTCACACCTCCTCACTGGGCATCTGCACATCTCCTCCTCTTCACATGCCTGAACCATCTCAGTCACGCTTCCCTCATGTTGTCCCAAATATCTTCATTCCTAATCTTACCACTTCTAGTATGTACACACTTCCACCTCAACATATGCATTTCCGCAACTCTTATCTTTTAAACATGAGAGTTCTTAACTGGTTAGTACAGTAGTACTCTGCCCCATACAACATGAACCTACCACCACTCTGTAACCAATCAAAATGTATGATTGATATAAAAAGCCAGTCAGTATTGACGTTGACCCGGTTACCCTAGAAACTCGCCAGCAGGATGATGAATGTTCTTCTGTTAGACAGAGGGAGACCCTTGCACCAATGGTCTCTGTTTATAAATTCTACACTTGCCCCAAAATATAGTTTTAGTTCGCTTCCATTTAGATGAATTTTTTGTATAACACATCTAACCGTCACCTCTGCTCGAAGTTTCTTTAACCAACTCCATTTACAAAATTTCAGCTAGAAAAATTCCATAAATCAGGTCCTAGAATTCCTTGTTAATGATATCCAGCATGAGCTCCATGGTGATTCTAGAAGAGAAAGATCCCTCACCCTCTCAGACAACGCGCAATTAATAGACAAAGAAAACAAAAGTCTTTGCACTGATAGAGGGATGTGTAAAGAAACAAAAGAAATTAGACGAGGAATAGAGTATCTCAAGGATTAAGGGGGGGGGGGGGGGGGGGGGGTGGGGAGGGGGAAAGGAGGGGGGGGGGGAGGGGGGTGGAGGGTACGATGGGAATGACACAATCAGTGTAAAATATCACTTCTGAAACTTGTTTTTCCTTGTTCCTACTAGTGAAGTCATTTTCCTAGAGAAATATTTTTTAAAATTTTTGATGAACCGAACATGAGAAAATAGAAAAATATTTTCTCCATTCCGAAAACACCCTTATATACACTATAGTTACATATAATTTGGTCGCAATTCACATGAAAACTCTTATATATGTGTTAAAAAAAATTAAAAAACATAAGTATAGATAATTATCTTTAACCTAATAAATCAAATAAGAAATTCGAGCTCGTAAAGTTTAAATTATGACTCCGTCTTTGCTTACTAACAATTTTTTTAAAACTTTGATGTATACAGCCACAACCATCAGGCTCAAGACTCCCGGCCCATCCTCTTCCAAAGCCTGCAGATTTAATGGGCCGGAAATTCTGCAGGCCCAAAGAAGATGCTACAGATGCACAATTGCAGGCCAATTTAGATTGGGCCTGCACTAATCAAGGTGTGGATTGTGGCCCAGTTCAAGCTGGAGGCCCATGTTTTGGCCCAAATACTGTTAGATCTCATGCAGCCTTTGTTATGAATTCTTACTATCAAATCTGAGAAGTTTCTGGCATCAGTACTTCCTTCTAGGATGTGCAACAAAATGCAGTACTTTGATATAGAATCAGCAACCTGAGTAATTAGAAGAAAGATGAGAAAGTGAACTTACTATTGAAGGGCTGAAAGCATCAAACCTAGTAACATTCTACGAAGTGTAAGGATAAACTTACTCTTGGGTCGAGCCAAGTTGATGTTTCCGATTGGTTTGATTCCATATTACCACCTAGGACACAAATTTGCAAGAAATACAATTAGGATGACAAGTCTAAAGACTCATCCATTTCCTAAGCATCAAAGTGATCTCTCAGTATGTCCAATCACCTTCCCCAAAGAACCAATAAAGGCATAAAGAAAAAGGGTAAAGTAGGAAATACAAAATTATTTGCAGAAACATATGCTGAAGATAAAGCAAAAAACAGCAAGGACAAAATAGTTACTAATTTCTTATTATGATTCTAGTAAAATCAACAAATAATTCTTTTGAAAATCTCCGTATATCATCGGTATGAAATGCTTCCCTTTTTGGTTGAGTGAGAGAATATGCTTCCCCAGGTTAGTCAAGAACACTTATCATGACTCTAACTACTCCCCAGTTACCCTTGAGTCCAGCTGAGCTACTTGGGAACCTACTGTTATTCTATGTTATAATCTTTGGTGCAACATCACCCAAATCTATCTTAAAGTTCTTTTTAGGACACACTAATGGAATTTATAGCATAATTACATTGAAGAGAATTAGAAACCAGTTACCTGAAACAAAAACTACAAAAAGCTTCTTCTGCTGCTTGGCTTCAGTGATGGCTTCTACAATAGAACCATTGAACACGAGAGGAGATAAAAGTTGCTCCATCTATTATAAGAGGGCAATATAAACTTCAGCTTTAAGATGATAGATCCAGCTTTAGGGTGATGAACAAAGATAAAGATTCTAACAGAGAATAAGGAACAAAATACAAACTAAAGACATAAGCAAAGATAAAGAAATACTCACAGAGTAATCCATAGTTCAAACAGACACAAGCCTGTGCAGAAAGTATAGATCTATGAATGACTTCATAACTATATTAATTTTTGAGATCCTAACTTAGTGAAGAAAAGCAAGAGATTATACCCAATTCACCTTTTATTGTTGACTTCAAGGATATTTAAACAAAAAATAAAATAAAATCTGACAGAGTCTGATTTTGGCTACAAAACTGATTAGTCTCAGAGCCTGTTTGGATTGGCTTATTGTAAGTGCTTTTTAGCCAAAATAGCTTTTAAGCACTTTGATTGTGTTTGGGTAAAATAAACAAGTGTTTTTAAGCACTAGATTCTAAATAATGAAATAAGTCAAAAGCCATAAGTTAAGACTTTTGGCTTATAAGGCATAAGCCAAAAGCCAATCCAAACAGGCTCTTAAACAAAATCAGAGCAAAAGAAGAATTATGAGTTAAAATATCACATTTTGACCTTTGTCTCTACCTCACAGTACGATTGATGAACTTCTATTGAGTATGGAAAAGTAGCCAAGAGTCATACAAGCTATTGAATGGATTTTTCTCCTTTGGTATCGATTTGATATTGTTCAGTTGGTTTTAGAAGCTTATTTCCTCTCAAATGTTTCATTGAATCCCAAAAGAGAAGAATCAACTCCCTATATCCCAAATTTTGGTCACTTTGACATTTCAAGAAAGACAAGTTATACTTACTTTTTCTTTCAAACTTCTGGCTTCACTTATAGATGAACGGGCAAGATCCTTGGGAGAACTACTATCGTAGAAGGCAAATTATACCATTAATCTGGAACACAGATATTTCTTCTCACCCATTAAAAAGTATTCCTCCCTCTTATCTAACTCTCCGAGAACTTTTTCCTTTTCCCCCTCTTCTTGTCTCTCCCCACGCTTCTCTCCTTCCTCCTAGTTTTCCGACCACTGCATACTAAGCCAATATCTTATCCAATTAGTTCAGTGGAGGTGATGGGAGACAGATCTTGGGTTTAACTTACATTCCAGTATAGTGCGCTTGTCCTTTTATACTACTTAGACATGCATCCGGCAAAGGAAGGACTTTTTTTCCAAAGCTGACTTCTTTTATCGAGAGACACTCTTTGTTGACGATAAAAGCGATGCTCCGGGTTGAGTTGTCTGAGATAAGCCATAATTTTGGGTCAGCTCTAATCCTAATAAATACCATGTGAAGCGCGTGATCACCCAGATTCCTATGCTCCTACTTTTACAAAGAAAGACCACCTCAACAAAAAATGACCAAATCATACCTTTAATTCCTTTTTGGGTAAGAAAAGATGACTAAATCATATTATTTTCCCTCTTGAATCAAGGAATAACTGAATATTTATATTTTATAAGGATCTCCTTCTATTTCCTAAGAAATCATGTCAAAATAACTAAGCAGATCCAAAACATAACTTCTACAACAAGTTGAAATCTATAAATCAGTTAAACACTTTATAAGTAGACTACCTATGGACCCAAAACAATAGTAATGACCTTAAAACTTGGATAACATGGCCAAAAACTGACCAATTGTAAAATAAGGCATTCGCAATTAATCAAAACAATTAAGTCGACTCCACACACTTGAAAAAGAAATAAAAGGTTGTTCCTTCTTTCACTAAATCAAGTTCAATGCAGAATTAACAAAGTCATTTGAAAATATAGAGCACTAAAAAAAAGGGTAAACACAAGACAAGTCCAACACATCCAATAAACCTTGATTTCTCCCATCCAAGTAATGTTTGCCCTATGCTTTAGTATTCTCTTCTACAACTACTTAGTATTATATAACATAACTAAGAGAAATTGAATAACCATTTTTCCCCTTATATGATAAAAAAAAAGGATTTCAATTTCCAGTTCCATCAAACAATATGAAAATATTCCTACAAAATAACTGAAAGTTAAACTAAAAGGGATTTAGGGTTTCTGTTTCCAGAATCCAGGAAGGGATGAGACAAACAAAAAGGTAAGCTTACAGCTTGATTGCGCCGGAGAGATGCTCACTTCGATCAATCGGAATTTTGAGTTTATCGAATTGCCAAAACTCTAAAATGAATATTTTTCAGCGCAGTGGTGTGGAAACGGTCATACCGGAAACCAGTAAAAAAATAAAAGTATTTATCCTTTTATATATTCAACACTCTGAGTTCAAATCATACGTAAAGATTTGAAGTTTAATTTTTTGGAAATTTTAGTCTCTCAATACATATAGAGTTAGAGTGTCCATAATAATATATCCTTTCAAATTGTTTATGAGTTGGTTTTTTATGCATTAAATTATTTATTTATACGATTATAAAATAGAGAGATATTCACCGTAATGAGCGCACGAAGGATGCTCTTTTTCAATCTTTCTTTTCATATTTTGTTTGTGAAAAATCAAAATTTAGTAACCTAAATCATCCTTATAAGTTAATAATCTTAGCTTGATAAATCATCCTTATGTGGTAATGTGGCCTACATAACTACATTAATGCCTAAGAGGCTATTGAAGCATAATATTATTATCTTCGAGAATATATATAAATTGCCTAATGTGCTATATACATATTGCCTAAAAATTATTAAATCACTAATAATAAAAAATAACAAATTTCACAAGGAAAATAGTAAATATGAGATGTCGTATGTTGTTTGCTCCTTAGTATCAGATTTTATAAGAAAAAAATAGCAAATATGATGTCATACATCAAAATATCAATTTTTATAAGAGAAATTTTGTACAAGAAAAACAAGGAGTTGTTTGGTAGAGTGTATAAGAATAATGTTAAATAATGTGTATTAGTAATACTTGCATAAACTGTTGAGGTCGTTTGGTAGAGTGTATTAGAAAAAATAATGCGTGTATTAGCCTTGTGTATTCTTTTTCAACCTATGTATACACTCTATTGTGTATTAAGGAGTGCATTGCTAATGCCATGGATTTCTAAGTATTAGCAATGCAATGGTTTGAATGCATGCATTAACATGATAAAAGACCCACTTAACCCCTCAAAACCTTTTTTACATCATTTCCACCATAAAAGTCAAGGGTATTTTTGTAAATAATTTTTTTAATGTCATACATACTATTTTTAATGCATCAAACCAAACAATGCATTAAAATAATATATGTATAATTAATGCAAGCATAACTAATACATACATTGTTAATGCAAGCATTACTAATACACTCTATTTAGTTATGCTTGCATTAATTATACATATGTTATTTTTATGCATTGTTTGGTTTGGTGCATTAAAAATAACATATATGCATAAAAGATTTTATTTACAAAGATACTCTCCACTATTATGGTGAAAAAGATGTATCAAAAGGAGCAATTGAGTCTTTAATCATGCTCATGCATGCATTAAAATAATTGCTTTGTTAATTAATACCTAGAAATTTATGGTATTAACAATACACACCTTAATACATAAGAAGATAAACATTAGTTATACATAAATTAAAAAAGAGTACTGAACCAAGACTAATGCATACTTTATTTTTCGTTATACATTCTACCAAACGAAATTAATGAGCAAGTTAAATGTGTTGGGAAAGAGGAAGAACTAAATAGTGGTTAGCTGTCACACACACACACACACAATGAATTTTAAAAAAAAATGAAAATGAAAATGGTAAGGTGTCGGTGGAGTGGCATTAGCTTAAGTAGGTCAGCGTTCACCCTCCATTGCTTTGCTTGATTCCAAATCCAGGCTGTCCCAACAATCTCTACCGTCAATTCACAGATCAGAAACAATCTCCACCGTTACCTCACATTTATTGAAAAAGATACTCCATCTAACTCGGTTCTTTTGTACCAAAGGAAATTGAAATCATTCATACATTTCGATTGTACCCAATTCTCTATCTCTCTCTACTGAGAGTAAAGTAAAATACTATTTTGTTGCAGAAGAATGGAGATGAGGATGAGGATGATTTTGTGTTTGTTGGTAATAATTTCGATAATTGGATGTGTTCATGGAGATGAGAATGAGTCATTCAGGAAGCAACCCACAAAAGTGAAGACGGTGAAGGGTACCAAGATGTGCGTCAAGGATTGGGAGTGTAACAAATTGTCTAAATTTTGTTGTAATTTGACAATAACTGATTATCTCGACACTGACCAATTTGAGCTCCTTTTCACTAAGAGGAACTCACCCGTAGCTCATGCTGTTGGATTCTGGGATTATGGATCTTTCATTAGGGCTACAGCACTTTACCAGCCGCTTGGATTTGGTACCACCGGTGGTAAGAAAATGCAGATGAAGGAGATTGCTGCTTTCCTTGGACATGTCGGTAGCAAAACTTCTTGTAAGTCTCTCTCTTCTCATTCATCTATTATTTAGATTAGAGTAGTAAGTATAACATTACAAACATAAATTCTCTACAGGTGGTTATGGAGTCGCCACTGGCGGACCACTCGCTTATGGTCTATGCTATAACAAGGAAATGAGTCCCAGCCAAGATTACTGTGATGACTACTTCAAATTAACCTACCCATGCACTCCTGGAGCCAGATATTACGGTCGTGGTGCCTTGCCTATCTACTGGTTCCTACCTACCTACATCTCCTTTGATAGATCTGCAACTGCTTTCCGTGTTTGAATTAATTTGTTTGTTTTTTAATTAGGAACTACAATTATGGAGCTATTGGTGAAGCCCTCAAGCTTAATCTGTTGGATCATCCCGAATACATTGAACAAAATGCTACCATGGCTTTCCAGGCTGCAATTTGGAGGTGGATGAACCCAATGAAGAAGGGTCAGCCTTCAGCTCATGATGCCTTTGTTGGCAACTGGAAGCCCACAAAAAATGATACTTTGTCTAAACGACTTCCTGGTTTTGGTACCACCATGAATATTCTCTATGGTGATGCTGTTTGTGGCCAAGGTGATGTTGACTCAATGAACAACATCATCTCCCATTACCAGTACTACCTTGACTTGATGGGTGTTGGTCGCGAGGAAGCAGGGCCTCACGAAGTACTCAACTGCGCAGAGCAAAAACCTTTTAACCCAACCGCCGCCCCTGCTGCTGCTTCTTGAGACTTATGTCAGATTGGTGAACATGCCATCCTACGAAGCATAGAATAAGTGAAGTGATATTGTGAAATGTATGACACTGGAACAGATTGGGAATCATAATGTTTAAGAGGATGTTGCCATTCTTGCTGTCTATCATGTAATATTTTTGGACTTGCATTTTTTTTTTTTTTTACGTTCATGGTTTGATTTATATACATATATGTACTGTGAAGCTTCTACATTGTAATTTGTGAAACTGTTAAAAGTTGCAATTCTATTGCCCTGTTGCATTTCATCACCAGGCAACCGTCTCTGTTGCATGTTTTACCCATATGTTGCACAGTCTGTTACAAGTAATTCAGGAGCTAGGTGCAGACTAGCCAAGGTGGGTAAAAATCATTGTTTTGCGAAAATTAAAGCCAACTTTGTCTGTTTTTGAAGAATCAATATTTCGAACCACAATCATTTGGTACGAGCAACTTTAGCTAAAGACACAATGCAACACACTTAGAAACCATGAACCTTTCTATTTAGCAAAAAATACTTTTTGACGGAAGGGCTACCAAAATACTTGTGCCAAAAAAGAAGTAAACCAAAGATCAAAAAAGAAGGAATCATGTTAACTTTCATCCATATGATAAAAACATGTGCAGATATATCTGGTCTCAGCATGTAAGCTGCATTGTTTTGAGATCGTTACTAAAGTAGACTTCGTAGCTATGCTGATGAAACTAAGAGAACAAAGGTCAAAAATAGCTACTCGTGTATAACAACCACTCAACATAAATAGGAGATATAAGTTCCACTCCAAACAAGACTAGGGGTATAACGGGCTTTTCGGGGCTTTAGAATGTAAGATGTGCATTTGACCTTTCTTCTAGCAGACCTTTTACATGATAGATCCAATAATCCACTTGAAGCATTTCGGAAGGTTGTTGCATACAGGTAGTACTAGTTGTAGACCAATGTCTTTTTGAGCATAAAACATTATTCATCTTTAAAAATCAATTCCTGTACGCATAAATTAGTGATCTATGTATATTTGTTTTCTTGTTGATCAACAATGTCACCCTTCAAGTACATCTGCAGAAGAGAACAAGTAAAAACAAATCAACAAGAAGCAGATAAGAGCACATGGTGAAAAACCAACAAATAAAGGGTAAAGGAGAAACAGCAATATCAATACACACATCTGTGAAGAAAATAAATGTCAGAATAATTCATTTAATACCACAAAGGTAATAAGACCATATTATATTTTAAAGGATAACTCCACCAATTACAATAGCAGATAACCTTGGCAATAAGCATTGCACAATCAAGATCAGTAGCACAGACTGTCCCTGCCCTAGCTAGACTTGGCTCAGATTTGTCTACAAGTTCTCAAGAGAAAATCCAACAATTCTCTAATATCCATGGTAATAAGATACTTCTTCACACTCCCAGAGTTGTGATATTAGAATAAAGTAACTCCCCAGAGGTTGGAGAGGTGAGGGTGGAATCTGTATTGATTTAAGGATTTAGGAACCTTCAACAAACTCCCGTTGTGTGTGTTGAGCTTGAAAGAACAAATAGAAATGGGAGCAAGTAACAAAAGAAATGATGCTTCCATACCAAGTCATTGCATAAATCTTGAAGGTTCCATAGACCTTTGGAGTTCTAACTCGAGTGTAAACGGAATCTTCAGTCCCTCTATAGTTTCCCATTTCTTAAACTCTTAGTATTAGCCCTTATAAAAGAAATTCTTAGTATTTGCTAAATCATTTCAGTCTTTTCTTTGAATTTTGCAATCTCAGAAAATCCACAGTTAGCCCCAAGGAAATATTTTCTGGAAGTTTCTGAGACTAAGAGCCTGACATTTGGTTGATTCTTCTTCTCAGAAAATAGAATGAGATTAAGCGATTAACATCAGTTGGATATTCTTCTAAATAAATCAATCTCTTATTACAGTAACTATACTGATTCCTCCAGGAGATTATCCTAGGATTTAATAACTCTACCAACCAAAGTAGATGATTGAAAGGGAGACCGGAGTTAAAGCAGTAGTGGAGTCAGGAATTTTAATGAGCGATGTAAAAATATGAAAAAAAGGACACGTAAAAAAAATAAGGGGAGTCAACATATATTATTTATACATAAAACTAAAATTTTAA